CCCCCCCCCACTCGTTCCCACGGGTTGTCCAAAATGGGTTGAAACCCACTCCTTCCAGGAAGCTCACCCGTCTGGGAAGAACAGGGTGGGCAGGAGTCCCTTCGACACATGAGCAGAAGGGTAGCACAATACGATGTACGCTTACTCAGAAGGAAGCCCCATCATGTCTTTAAGTCCTGGGCATGGGGTTCTGGTTTTTGACCTGACTCTCGTATCACTCATTGAAGGAGACAACTGGCAAACTCTACCATTCCCCATTGGATTGCCACCATCTGGGAGACTGGTTACAAGAGTGCGTGTTTTGTGTGTGTATGTGTACATGTGTGTATGTTTGTGCATACATGCTTATTCTCACTGGAGGTGGCCAGCTCCACTGTCAGCTGGGTGGTGAATCCGCTCCTGGTTTTAGTTCTGAATTTTACAAGAACTGGCCAAGGTGCTGAATCCTGTTCACTCTACAACCTGACAGGAACCAACCCTTTTGTTTTATTCACTGGGTGTTAAACACCCTCAACTCTGTATTTCTAGAGATTAAGCCATAACATATTGGGTTGGGGGAACGGCTGTGTCCTCAGATATCAGCCGTCCGTGCCATGGGCTATTTGGTTGAAACTTCACTTAGGCTTCAAAGGTTTGCCTCAAATTCCCGTCCTGAGATTTGGCCAAAGGTGATTTTTCCCTCTCAACTTTGTGTTCTCTTAGAAAACTCCTGCATCTGACAGATTCTTCAAATGAATAAATGTGCTTTCTTTCATTTGCTGCAGGTAGTTTTTATGGGAATGATGTTCAGCTCCACCCTCTGGGGAAATATTTCAGATCAGTATGGCAGAAAAACGGTAAGCCACTCGCTTCTCTTCTGATAGACCATATCGTATCTCCTAGGTAAACAGGAGTTGCGTTGGGCTGGTTTGGAGGCATTCCCCAGATCCTAGTGTTGCTCAGAGGTCGGGAACCTTAGGCTCTTGAGCGGAATCCGGTTGGGTTGATCCTTACCCCTCTCGGCATCCCCAGCTGGCCACGCCCTGTCAGCATTTTAAGAGAAGGGTGATCCCAAAGACCGATGGGTTCCTCCAGAAGAACACAGACCTGCCTTTCGAAAGTCAAGGTCAACACCTTTGATATTCAGTCGTGTAGAATTAAATGTTCTCTTCCCGTGTTTTGTTTTTGTCTGCTCGATGCAGGGGCTAAAGATCAGCGTGCTCTGGACCTTATATTATGGGATCCTCAGTGGCTTTGCACCCGTTTACAGCTGGATCCTCGTTCTTCGGGGGTTGGTGGGGTTTGGCATTGGAGGCGTCCCTCAGTCGTAAGTCACCTATCAGTTACACCCCTCTTCTCGTTGCGAGGCCGCTGTTCTGCCTGACAGCTTAGAAGGCTTCCTTGCACTGTAGTTCTGTTTAGGAGATCCGTCCTGTTCTGCGGTTTGCATTAGTACTGGAGGGTCATCAAATATTACAAATAACTGAGCTTTTTTATACAGGCTGTCCCAAAGCTTAGTTCACAGAGTAAACCCATTATGGATACCTTAACCCTTTTCTCAAAGTATTCACTGAAATTCATTTCTAATATTTGTGAAAATGAAGATCGGGGAAACGCGTCACTACTTTCAACTTCACACATACATCCTTAGAGATCTTGAAGAAGTTAAAAAGACCGATGGGTTCCTCCAGAGGAACACAGACCTGACTTTCGAAAGTCAGGGTCAACACCTTTGATATTCAGTCATGTAGAATTAAATGTTCTCTTCCCCGTTTTTGTTTGTGTTTGCTCAATGCAGGGGCTAAAGATCAGCGTGCTCTGGACCTTATATTATGGGATCCTCAGTGGCTTTGCACCCGTTTACAGCTGGATCCTCGTTCTTCGGGGGTTGGTGGGGTTTGGCATTGGAGGCGTCCCTCAGTCGTAAGTCACCTATCAGTTACACCCCTCTTCTCGTTGCGAGGCCGCTGTTCTGCCTGACGGCTTAGAAGGCTTCCTTGCACTGTACAGTAATTCTGTTTAGGAGATCTGTCCTGTTCAGTGGGTTGCATTAGTACTGGAGGATCGTCAACATCGCAAAATAACCAAGCTTTTTCATATAGGCTGTTCCAAAGCTTAGTTCACAGAGTAAACCCATAGTTACACCCCTCTTCTCGTTGCGAGGCCGCTGTTCTGCCTGACGGCTTAGAAGGCTTCCTTGCACTGTACAGTAATTCTGTTTAGGAGATCTGTCCTGTTCAGTGGGTTGCATTAGTACTGGAGGATCGTCAACATCGCAAAATAACCAAGCTTTTTCATATAGGCTGTTCCAAAGCTTAGTTCACAGAGTAAACCCATTATGGATACCTTACCTTTTGTAAAAATTACTTTTGGACTACAATGCCCGGAACCGCAAGCATAGCAGATGATCCTATTTGGCTGGAGGACTCAGGGCACTGTAGATCAAAAAAAGTGACTTTTCCAACTCTAAGTCTTGCAATGCATCCAGGATGATAAGTCATTAAAAAACCATTCCAAACTCAGTGTAAACACAGATGTTGAGTTCTGATCTTGGTTTATGTAATTTGTGCATAAATTTGTATCCTGCTTATGTTAGAACAATTAAAAATAACAACAGATCTTTCTGCTGTGTTGATCGCAGCAGTGAAGTCTGAAGATCTCCTAGCAATTGGAATAAGCCGGCTTTCAGGACAGAAGCCCACGGCTCTGTTTGCTCCTGTGATCTTTCACATCCATCTACTGTATGTCCTTCTTTCCAGAGTCACGTTATATGCTGAATTCCTCCCTATGAAATCCAGGGGAAAATGCATTTTGCTAATTGAGGTAAGTGGGAAAAGCTAGGAGCCCGGGCGGGGGCTCACAGAATCCATTTCTGAGCTCATTGCTGCAAGCGGTCAAGCATTTAAATCACTGCTCTTGGACCACAAGCCTATTCAGAGACCGTAAAAATTACTTTTGGACTACAACGCCCGGAACCGCCAAACGCAGCGTAGCAGATGATCCTATTTGGCTGGAGGACTCAGGGCACTGTAGATCAAAAAAAGTGACTTTTCCAAGGTCTGGCTTGCGGTATTTTCCTGATTGAAAGCAAAACTACTGTGCCTGGGGATTCTGGGTGCTGTCACCTCCCCACCCCCCAAAAAGGAATTTTTCTAGTTTCTAAGGGACGGCTGAAGATGACAGGAGCTAGACCTTTGGCCACATTTCCCCAAGAAGACCACATTCTGTGCAAATTGTCGGCCTGTGAACAGACGGGGCTAAATCTTGATTGTGCGAGGGAGTCATTTGATCGAATCCACCTCTCCCTTTTCTGCACAAACAGGTCTTCTGGGCTGTCGGGACCGTCTTCGAGGTCCTCCTGGCAGTGTTTGTGATGCCCACCCTTGGCTGGCGTTGGCTCCTCATCCTCTCGGCCCTCCCCCTCCTGCTCTTCGCCATCTTGTGTTTCGTAAGTGTTCCTCCTGGTCTAGCAAAAGGGTTGAGCCAGCTTTCAAAGCTTCTGATCAAAGGAAATGAGAAAACTTGCTACCCTGGCAGACAGAGATCATCATCAATTCAGATCGCTTCAAAAGGGATTGTGGCAAGTTCCATGAACGGCTATCTATGGTGACGGCACAAGGCAACATCATGAGGGTTATGTACTACCTCCAGTCCCTGAGGACACCTCTGTGTATCAGGGTCAAACTAAACGAGACAGCTCTTCCATAATTAGAAGCTGGCGATACAAACGTTCCCTTCAGGCACGCTGTTACTTCAACTCTCCATGTCTGAGCAATCAGTCTGGCAAATGAAGCCCACGTTTGCCACTCCACAACCAATCAGAAAACAAAGGGGGGATTCATCTGGCAGCTTGCAGAGCAGGAGGAAATCTCCTGCTAGGATAAATAGAGGATGTTTACCCCTTAAAGGAGCTCGATGTTTAATGATGTCATAACTGTATGGTTTTCTTTCACTCTGTGTGGCTGAAGAATACAGGGAGGAGGGTGTTGTCATGCACATGCTCCCCAGGTGGGGGCAACTGGTCGACTCCTCTGGGACCAGCCGGCCAGACTCATCCGGCATCATTCCTTCTTCTGCTCTTCCCTTGATCTGGTTTGTTTGGTCTTCCTCTTTCAATTGATTCCTACTCTCTCTCTCTCTCTCTCCCTCCCTCTCTCTATCTCTCTCTATCTCTCACGGGTCTCTTCCTTGGCTTCACCAGTGGCTGCCAGAAAGCGCACGGTACGATGTTTTATCTGGGAACCAAGAGAAGGCCATCGCCACTTTGAAACGGATCGCGACCGAGAACGGTGCTCCTATGCCCCTGGGGAAACTGATCATTTCCAGGCAGGTGAGTGTGAGAAGGAGGCATTCATGACAGCTGCGACAAACAGGAGGGGAGGAATGGATTGTTTCCTCCTTCCGAACAACATCCTGAGGTTCCTCTTCTGCAACTCCCATGAGCTGTCTGAGGATGATGGGAGTTTCCTCACCTTCACTCCAGGACACCAGCTTGTCCAAAGCCGCATTAAATCACAAGGGGGGGAGAGAGAACCCTTCAAACTCAAATCCCATTCACAGACATGGACAACCCCTCTGGCTGCTTGCACTCAGAGAACACCAAGCATTCCCATGTGTCTCTTTCTGAACAGGAAGACAGAGGGAAGATGCGGGATCTCTTCACCCCCCAGTTTCGGTGGACGACGCTCCTGCTTTGGTTTATATGGTAAGAGGGACAAGCTGCTCGTGTGTGGGGGGGGTTTCATGCCCCGTCGAATAAGCTGGAATCAGGTGGGGTTCCTTTCATCTTTTTTTGCTGGATGCAGAGAAATCTCTCCTCCAAACCCCTGATTCCGTGTCGTTTTTGGGGCGCACCCTGGCTTCCCCTCGTTTCCTTCTCTGCAGGTTCTCCAACGCCTTTTCTTATTACGGGCTGGTTTTATTAACGACAGAGCTCTTTCAAGCAGGAGACGTCTGCAGCTGTGAGTATGATTTCTCCTCTCCAAAAACAAGACTCACAGGCTGAGCGGGGTGAAGAGAAAAAAAATCTCTCTCCGGAGGGGACCTTGTTTCCACCGGAGACTCTCGAAGTCTGTTCCTCGGGGCTGATGAAGGCTGGAAAAAAGTCGGGAGCAGTTTCCCATTAGAACCCAGAATCTGCCCTTCAGCAGGGCCATGGTAAATAAGGAACACCACGACAAACCCAGTGAGCTGCTGGTTCAATTTGTAAAAAAATAAAAATAAAAACAGGCCACTACTTCTTGAACACCTTCATGGGAATGAGAGCAACTCTCTGATCTTGGATTTGGTCCCTTTCAGACTTACACGGTGGTGACCCAAACTTTTTGCATGCTAGCAAAAATGGGGTGGACAGAAGAGAGAGTGTTTAGACTGAGCCTTACCCTTTCCTCCCTCCCTCCCTTCTCTCTTTTTTATTGTTCTCTCCTCAAAGTGCCGAGCAGAAGGCAAACGGCGAAAGCCAAGCTTCTCTCAAAGTACCGAGCAGAAGGCAAACGGCGAAAGCCAAGTGCAGCCTGGCCTGCGAATACCTGACAGAAAAGGACTACATAGACCTGCTGTGGACCACCCTGTCTGAATTCCCAGGTAGCCCACAGGAAAAGGGAGGACGTAGCTTAGCATCCAGAGATGGGGGACATGCCGCACCGGGAGGCCATCAAAGGAGGGTGTTGTAGGAAGGACAGGTAGCCTTCTGGGAAAGCCCAGAGGGCCAGATTCTGCCCTCCTCGAATCTACAATCCGCTCCCAGCATCTCAGATGTGGGGATTCTGGGGGTTGTGGTCCAAACAGGTAATGTTTCCATGTTTTGGTTTGTAGACACCACTGAGGCTGCCTGCAAGAAAACTGGAATTATTACTGGCATCTCCTTCTTTCCTTCCTTCCCCCCCCTTTCCAGGTGTCTTAGTGACCTTGTGGGTTATAGACCGTATTGGGCGTAAGAAGACGATGGCCCTTTGCTTTTTCGTCTTCTCCTTTTGCAGCCTCCTGCTTTTTCTCTGCGTGGGAAGGTGAGCTAAGCAACTGAGTTAACATGGGGGTTTCTTTCGTTCTAACAAGGCTGTCCTGGATTTAACCTGGGAAAAGCTAACATTACAAGTGGGAGCACTGTAGCTTTATGGTTACACCATAGATAACTGTTCCCCAGTTACTTTACAGAGTTACCTTTATAAGGGCATTTAAAAAAAACATTTTTCAAGCCTCAGGCTATTCTCTTACCAAGCCTACTGTAAGAGGTTTTCCTTTTTCTAATTTGCCCTGGAAAAAAATAACAACAAAGAAAAAGAGAAGAAACAGTGGAAAATTAATGATTGAAATGAGTTACTTTTTTTAAAAAAATGTAAGAAGTAAAGACTGCAATGAATTCTGTTTTGTAACGAGTCAGAGAATAGTTCCCTTTTAAAAAGCAACTTCTGAAGTGACCAAAAAGAATTAGCAAGAGCTGTCCAAATGTATAAGTAGTGGTGGATTGGTGTGTGTGTGTGTGTGTGTGTGACTCATAGGACAACAAGGCCTCGGCTCAGCATGAAGTATCCTTTGAAAACATTAACTCGCATCTTGTCTCCTTGCAGGAAAGTTCTTACTGTGCTCCTGTTCATTGCAAGGGCTTTTATTTCTGGAGGGTTTCAAGCTGCTTATGTTTACACCCCGGAGGTAAGAAAGTGAACCCAATATCTCCTCAAAGGAGAGATTCTGTGAGACCCTAGCATGCCCTGCAGTGGTTGCAGTTACATCATTTTAAGACTCAAGATTTTAGAAGAAAGAAGTTTCAAGGGGGTTATATCTGGGACAGCCCAGTTTAAATCAACCCATCCAATTTTTCTCCCTCAGATCAAGGGAAGTGTGAAATGGGAGATGCCCCATGCGTTTTGTGTGTGTGTTGTTGTTGTTGTTTTTTTCCTTGCAGGTTTACCCAACGGCCACCTCCATGCGTTTTGTGTGTGTGTGTTGTTGTTGTTGTTTTCCTTGCAGGTTTACCCAACGGCCACCCGAGCTCTTGGTCTGGGGACTTGTAGCGGAGTTGCCCGCGTCGGTGCCCTTATCACACCCTTCATTGCACAGGTGAAACAACAACAGAATCCGGTCCATTTTCTCTCTGTCATATCTGCCACGAACCCCGCTCCTTGGTTGAAACCAATCTGGGAGAAATCGCAAGGAAAAAGGTTCTTGAAACTTCCCAGGAAACTGGGAAGGGCAAAAGGGATTCCAGAAAAGAAGGGTCAGTGATGGAGAAAGTTACGAGAAAGTTACTTTTCTTGGAATACAGTTCCCAGAATACCGGCCCTGCTTGACTTAGTGGGGGCTAGCAATAGGATTTGAGCCTGAGTAAGAACCAGGGCTGCTTGCGGTCTTTCCTGAGCCCTGTCTTCTTCCCCTTGCCTTCCAGGTGATGCTGGAGTCCTCCATCTATTTGACCCTGATCGTCTACAGCGGGTGCTGCATCCTGGCGGCGCTGGCGGCTTGCCTTCTCCCCATCGAAACCAAAGGGCGCGGCTTGCAGGAGTCCACCCACCGCGAGTGGGGGCAGGAGATGTTTGGACGAGGGGTTCCCCAGTCACACTCCGGGGGGTCACAGGGGTGACCGGGCATGTCGGCCCAAACGCAGGGAAGTTTGGAGGGGGCCCAAAAACAACCACCACCACCACAACAACACCCCACCACCCTTTCCGAGTCTGATGCTTGAGAAGCGCAACATCTCCTTGCCGCTACGTGTCGTCTCAAAGCAAGAATGCTTGTTTCGTGTCCACCTGGACTCCTTTTTCGCTTGCACCTGTCACCATCCACCCCGTGCAAGGAGTCATAAAAGATCTGGAAAGAGCGTGTGTATGTATGAACGAGAGGGAGGGAGAAGGAGTGGCAGCTAGTAAGAAGAGAGAGAGACACACACAGAGGCTTTCTCAATGTCTAGACTATCCTTTTAAGGTTGACAACAAAAAGCATGCCTAAGGGAGAAACAGATGGGATGGTCCGCTTTGCAGTTAGAAGTGCGGCTGCTTTAAGTAGTAAAGGAGGTGTAATGATCCTCATTTCCATCTTTGCAAGCTGCAAATTAGCTTTCATTGGGTGATTAATTCTTGGGAAGATACAACAGGTGCTGTTTGCGTCACTCTGAAGGAATACGTCTCTCCTGAATACAAAGTTGGCCCTCTTGTTTGTTTCTGCCCTTAATTTCTTCATGCCAGGCCAGTCAGTCATGCTGCGTCAAGCAAGGAAGGAGCATGATCTAGGGGTCACTGTGCACAAGACGGCCGCCACCCGTGACATCCTCAAACGGGCTTTAAGTGCACTCATTCCTAACGGCACAGGTTTCATGCACTTGTGAATCATTTACTGAACTGGCACTTTTCAGTGGTGAACCACTGTGAACACACATGAAACCCCTGTCAGTCTGTCAGAGAGAGCTTGCTGGTTAGTTTTTGCTTCCCGAGAAGTTCCAGGGCTCGACAGGCGCACGTGTCTCTTTTCTGGCAAAGAAGGCTGCTGGAGCTGGTGGTTCAGAGTCTGTGGAAATGCTGACTGCCGTCTGTGTTGCTCCGTCTTCTAGAGCCGAACGGGGTTGGCAAAATGACTGAAGGGTGGTAGCATCTTCCTTATGAGGAGCATTAACACATGAGGGGCTTTTAAAAAAAAATATCGAAAAGGGCAACTAGAAGAGTTTTAACCAGAGGAGTTTATAAATCAGTGGCTGGTAATGATAAAGTAGATGGAGAAAAGAACCAGGGGGGTAAGATGATTAAGAACCTCAAATTCATCCACTGGTTTAGAAGACAGGTTGCTACCCTAAAAGATGGAGCTCGTGGGCATGACAGCTATTCAAGACAATTAAGATTTCTCCCCAAAAACACAAATCAGGTTTAATTTAGTCAAAGTTGCTGTAAATCTTTTGCAGAAAAACAAAAATGATGGTATAGAAATGCTCAGAAACCATTTTTAAGGCACCCAAATTGTCAATGTATATCACAAATACTTCCAAAGACTTTTGTTTTAAGCATATAATTTATTTTTTACTTAGGTGAAAGTACAAGGGGGTGGTACATTTAGTTTGGGGAAAAAAATCACACAGAAATCATTCAGAATCGAACCTATATTCAGCATCCTAAATTCTGTTGACTGTCCTCCAGTTTGTGAATGTTCAGAGCTGTCACGACAGGAAAGTAGTTGTCCAAAGCTGATGTGGTGAATGATCTTTGTATTCTTCAATGCTTTCCAGGGGGAAAAAAGAACACTTGAATGTCTCCTGCTGTGTTTGAATGTACAGTTTCTAAACTAGACCTGTGTTCACGTTGAAGACGAGACTTCTGTTATCTTGAGTTTGTTGTAATATATTCTTCCGTTTCTCTGTTAATGAAGCAACGTTAGGTAGATGGATTCCATACTGGATATTTTATGTTGAATAAACGAATAGTTTTTACAATAAGGGACTTTGTGCGGGGTTCCTGAGGGCCTCCTCTCGCATGGATCATTCACAAACGCACCATTCTGGAAAACATTTGATGAAGGTCTTCTGTCATGGATGGAAGGTAAGAGAGCTGGAGGAACAGACTTACCGTATTTTTCGCTCCATAAGACGCACCTTTCCATAAGACGCACCAGTTTTTTAGGAGAAGAAAACAGGAAAATATAATCTGTTTTCTTCGCTCCATAAGACGCACAGATTTTCCACCCCCCTTTTTTGTGGGGGGAAAGTGCGTCTTGTGGTGCGAAAAATACGGTAATATGCGCCTCTTCCCACCCATTTGCTTTTCTCTGGATTTCTCCTCCTGAGGATGTTGAGAGTTTTTTGAACAAATCTGAAGACAACCAGCCTGGCAGCGAAGAGCCTCAAGAGCACCGAGGGACGCCGTTGTGCTGTTTACGTTTGGTGAAGATCAGCTGTGACCCATGAAAGGCCAAAGATTTGGCTCTTGGATCCTTCGATACGCTTTGATTAAGAAAAGGAAGCAGGGTTTTCTTCAAGGTTATGCTTATGCAACGAGAAGGGAAACCGAAGCGAAGGCAGGAGTTCCATTTTCTCAGAGGTTAGAAGAAGGCGCTTTGCCCAACTTCCTGCCCTCCAGGATCTCCCCAAATAATCTGGCTGCCTCCATCGCGCAGCCCCAGTGGATGGTGAGCCCAAAGCCGCCATGGCCATAGTTGTGAATCACCTGAAAAAGGAAGGCAAGGAAGAATCTCTTGTGTGGTCCGTGCTTACCACCGAGGCCAGGAACGGATTTAAGGAATAGAAAATATCCTTTCTGAATGAAAGCTCAATGTAGATTCACCGTCCGCGTGGGACTGCCAGCAGGATGAGTTGAGATATCCTCTAAGAGGCTACGGTTGGTTGACCTGACCAGGTCTATATGAGGCTCACTGGGTCTTCCTTACTAGCAAGTCTTAAATGCTTCTTAAAACTTTACTAACCTAGGTTGTAAAATGCAGAGGTTGGGCCTAATGTGAACATTAACTGCCAAAAGTTACAGATAACACAGAGGGCATCATCCTTCCCATTTATAAACGTGGACAATGTAACTTAGATGATATCCTTTTTTACATAGAAAGGAAAAAAGAAGCCCAGCTCATTAAAAGAAGTGAGGTTGTCTATCATAGATTACTTCCGTGCTCTGATTAAATGCAACACAAGGGCCGACACACAGGACCAGTTTCCTGCTTTGGCAAATACCACACTCAGTTAAAAGGCTGCCTACCTCTGACCGTTGCTTTCCATGGGGAACAGCCTCACGCTCTAGGCGAAACTCTGGGCGCACCGGGCGGAGGCCACTCCATTCATAGAGAATCTTTGCTTTCTGGAAACAAAAAGGGCCGACACACAGGACCAGTTTACTGCTTTGGCAAATACCACACGCGGTTAAAAGGCTGCCTACCTCTGACCGTTGCTTTCCATGGGGAACAGCCTCACGCTCTAGGCGAAACTCTGGGCGCACCGGACGGAGGCCACTCCATTCATAGAGAATCTTTGCTTTCTGGAAACAAAAATAGGGGCAAAGTGTCCCTGTTGGTCCTCCTCGACATCTCAGCGGCCTTTGATACCATTGACCACGGTATCCTCCTGGGGAGGCTCTCCGAGTTGGAAATAGGTGGCCTGGCATTGTCCTGGCTCCGTTCCTTCTTGGAGGACCGGCCCCAGAGAGTCCAGCTTGGGGAGAGAGTCTCGGCCCCGTGGAGCCTCAATTGTGGGGTTCCACAGGGGTCGATTATCTCCCCAATGCTATTTAACATCTATATGAGGCCGCTGGGTGGGGTCATCAGGGGGTGTGGTGCTTCGTGTCACCAGTATGCGGATGACACGCAGCTCTACATCTCCTTTTTGCCAACTGCAGGAGAAGCCGTCCTGTGCCTTCAGCGCTGCCTGGGGACTATACTGGGATGGATGCAGGAGAACGGGCTTAGGCTGAATCCGGACAAGACGGAAGTACTGAGGGTGGGCCCTCCCACAGTCGGGGATTTGGGAAACTCCCTCTCTTTCGGGGGGGTGACTCTCCCTGCAAAGGATGTCGATACGCTTTGATTAAGAAAAGGAAGCAGGGTTTTCTTCAAGGTTATGCTTATGCAACGAGAAGGGAAACCGAAGCGAAGGCAGGAGTTCCATTTTCTCAGAGGTTAGAAGAAGGCGCTTTGCCCAACTTCCTGCCCTCCAGGATCTCCCCAAATAATCTGGCTGCCTCCATCGCGCAGCCCCAGTGGATGGTGAGCCCAAAGCCGCCGTGGCCATAGTTGTGAATCACCTGAAAAAGGAAGGCAAGGAAGAATCTCTTGTGTGGTCCGTGCTTACCACCGAGGCCAGGAACGGATTTAAGGAATAGAAAATATCCTTTCTGAATGAAAGCTCAATGTAGATTCACCGTCCGCGTGGGACTGCCAGCAGGATGAGTTGAGATATCCTCTAAGAGGCTATGGTTGGTTGACCTGACCAGGTCTATATGAGGCTCACTGGGTCTTCCTTACTAGCAAGTCTTAAATGCCTCTTAAAACTTTACTAACCTAGGTTGTAAAACGCAGAGGTTGGGCCTAATGTGAACATTAACTGCCAAAAGTTACAGATAACACAGAGGGCATCATCCTTCCCATTTATAAACGTGGACAATGTAACTTAGATGATATCCTTTTTTACATAGAAAGGAAAAAAGAAGCCCAGCTCATTAAAAGAAGTGAGGTTGTCTATCATAGATTACTTCCGTGCTCTGATTAAGTGCAACACAAGGGCCGACACACAGGACCAGTTTCCTGCTTTGGCAAATACCACACTCAGTTAAAAGGCTGCCTACCTCTGACCGTTGCTTTCCATGGGGAACAGCCTCACGCTCTAGGCGAAACTCTGGGCGCACCGGGCGGAGGCCACTCCATTCATAGAGAATCTTTGCTTTCTGGAAACAAGAACACCCAGTCGGCACTGCAGGGTTATACTCGTGCAAAGAGCCATTTGTTCAAGGCGGGGGGTGGGGAACGGGGACATGGGAACTAAGAAAAGGGCACCGCTGTGGCAGAAACGCCCCCATGGTTGTTCGGCTGAGCCTACCTTGAGGGCAGGCATCAACGAACAGCAGCTTTCCCAGATGTGCTGGTGATCCAGAGGGCTGTTTTTTTCGCTCCAGTTCCCCACCTGAAACACACCTCCCAGGGTCACGGCGTTGCTCCTGTGACCCAAAACAAAACAAAACAAAACAAAATAACAGGCAGAAGAATTGAAATTGGGCTGCGAAGAGGTTGGGCTGAATTGTGGGAAGCCAATGTGGGAAGAGGTACACTCTCCATCCTAACCGCCCTCTGGGCAGTTAGAACAGGATTTGGAAGGAGTGACCGGCGGGTCCCTTGGCCACCCAACGCCAGAGACCCTTCTGTGTCACGCACCCCTTGCCACAGGGCCCCCAGTGTGGCCAGAGGCAACCAAGTCCAAGAAGACAACCCCGGGGACCTTTGCGGCCACAGTCCCATTTCTGACTTCAGCCGGAGGCTCGGGCCAGCCGGCCATAGGTGGCTTGAAGTGGCCAAGACGACGAAATCTAGGCCATCGAAGACTCATTTTGGGTACAGCAGCTGACAGAGCCTGACGGCGTTGGCGGCCCTTTCCTTACCCGGGAATGATGTAAGGGGTCTTATAGACTCCGTGCTCGTCGCCGTGGGTGATGACGAAGTGCTTCACCCAGGGGGCTTCGACCTGGGAGTAAAAGCCAAACGTGGAAATCACAGGGTCTCGTAAAGGGAGGCAAACCCAGCTCTGGCCGCGGCTGTCCTGCGGCCTCTGTGAGAAACCCCTCCCTGGCAGTGGGTCAAAGGGCTGCTTAAACCCTGGCCCCTGAGAGAGAGAGGGTGTGTGTGTGTCTCTCACCTTGATGATTTGCCCTCGGCCAGGGCGCAGTGCAGGGTCAGGTTGGAGCTCCCCGGCACGGACGCCGGTGCAGTTGATAATGACGTCCACACCTTCCGCCAGCAGCTAGGAAAACAAGGTCCCCCCTTTTCTCTTTCTCCTTCAGCAGGAAATGGCAGTCCAGCCCCCCAAAGGCCCTCTAGAAGCCGAAGGACTACAACTTCCATCAGCCTTAGCCAGTGTGGCCAATGGGCAAGGGCAAGCTATCCCAACCGACGACTTAAGAGCCGGCACATGCCGTCAAGTCGATTCTGACTTATGGTGACTCCTTTCAGGGTTTTACTATCCCAACCAACGACTTATGATATGCCATCAAGTCGATTCTGATTTTCCGGTGACTCCTTTCAGGGTTTTCAGGATGGAGAATACTCAGAAGTGGCTTTCCTGTTCCCTTCTTTTGGGCGGGAACGTCCTGGGACTCCCGTGCAGCTTCGAACACAAGGCCACCCAGGGCCGGCTCTTCCTCCCAGGAGATGCACCGTGGGGGGGGGGATCGAACTCCCAACCTCTGCCAGAGACCTAAACCACTCAGCTATCCAGCCAGCCAACGTCTTACCCCCCCCCCAACTAGCATTACTACCTTGTACATCTGGCAAAATTCACCACAGTGGATGTAAACCAATCAAGGCATTTCCACACGTGTGGTGCTTCACTGGGGTACTTACAGGGCATGTCTCTTGGAAGCTCTGTCTGCCCCTCCTCCCGCCCCATCCCTTGCCCCAGGAGCAGCCCTGCTCAGGCAATAGTCCCGTTCCAAAACCCAAGCAGAGACCTCCCGCCTTGCACCCCCCAAACCTTCCACCTAGTGGGAGAGACAGGGGAACATTTCCGCTGCATCTCCACTGAGCCTCCTTTGGGCATAACCGTGGGCCACATAAAGTCCCTACTGACCTCCTGGAAGGACTGGATTTTCCGTTGGAAGAACTTGACACCTCGCAACTTCAACCTTGAAAAGAAAAGTGCAAATCCCCTACATTTGATGTTTTGAGGGTGCCAGGAGTCATCAGACACCATGTGGGCCAATTATTAGCTGCTGTCTGAGTCTCCCATTCCTTAGCCCAATCGCTTTTTAAAAAGGCATCTAAGCAGAATGAAAAATCGGAACAGAAAGCTCAAACGCCTTTCCCTTCTACTCAGTTAAAATTTATAAATATAGTCTGAGCAACTTTGCCAGCGGGTTCATTACAAAATACTTCTAGAAATGGGGCCCCAAAATAAGACCTCATACATACCTATTTGTAAGCCACGGTAGGTAGCTTTTGCCTTCCAGCATCAGAGCTGTGTTAAACCAGCCATAACTGGAAGGGGGAAACAATGGTAAAGAAAAGAATAAGGAAAGATACAGGCGTTACAAACAGAAAAACTGTGCCACAAAGTCAGCTGTGCCACCTTAAATCTAAAAGGGAAGGTTAAAAGAGCTTCATGGCGCAGTGGTTAAAACGCTGTACTGCAGCTCAAACTGTGCTCACGACCTGGGGTTCAAATCCCAGGTAGCCGGCTCAAGGTTGACTCAGCCTTCCATCCTTCCGAGGTCGGTAAAATGAGTACCCAGCTTGCTGGGGGGGCAATGTGTAGCCTGTATAATTAAAAAATTGTAAACCGCCCGGAGAGTGCTTGTAGCGCTATGGAGCGGTATATAAGTCCAATAAATAAATAAATAAATAAATAAATTGAACATACCTGTAGCCAGGGAAAAGCTCAAGCTCTCTCGGCGATAGCTTCCTAAACCCCAAGACAATATCCTTCCACGACGGATCCTGCGGAAAAACAGCAATTTCCCACATCCATTTGAAACATAGCAGAGATAATAAGCCCTCATACAAAAAAAGTCTCTGGTTCTAAACCAGAGAATCTGGCAGGGCAGCCCTTACCAAACCCCTCCTTCCTAAAGTTTAATGGGAATCAGAGATTGGAGATAAGAGACAGCCTCTCCTCTCAAAGATCAGGTGCAATCTCAGAGACGGCCGATTTCGGTCTCTCGGAGACAGCGAGCGATCGCCAGTGGCCTGGAAAGGTTTTGCAATGAATGGAAGTCTCGTTTGCAACCCAACAAGGCGGCACGTGGAGCAACACCTCAGGTTTGCAGACGGACACTCAAGGAACAAGCATCCTTGAGATGATGATGCTGATGCCTTTGACCATCAGCTACCTACAGGAACTGGGCGTTTAAAGAGGTTGTATCCAGACAGCAGAAACAAGCCCATGTTCTCGGCTTCTGATGAACTGATGTGTTGGAGCAGGTAGTCAAAAGTCTCTCGGTTCCAGAGCCTGCAATATATATATATATAAAAATATTATCATCACGAACATCTGCCATCACGACCTAAACCACTGAGCTATCCAGCCAGCTATTAAACCATATAAAGTCAGGAAACTCCTCCCAACTAAAGGACCGCACTGGAAAATGTATTGCAAGTTAAAGGTTCACACAAAGTAACATCTGGGATTAAGGTCCAACTGAGGGCTGGGTTGTAGAAGCTCCGTTTCAGATGAAGGGGCTCCAGGTAATGAAGTGGTATGTGATGAGCCTCTAATTGCTTTCTCTGGAGGAACTGCGAGTCTTTATTGGCACGGAGCCGCCTTTCCTTATGCGGACAAGCAGCAAGGAAGAGTCACCTAATTTAAAGCTGCTCTCAAAACTTTATGCACCCTAACCAACCCATAAATGAAGTTACCTCTCGCTCCCTCTCAATCTTTTCCGCAAAGAGCTGAAGATAAATAAAAAAAATGTGACTGCTCTTGGTTTGGGCACCTTTGCAATATCCTTCTTTTGTGGTTTTGCTCGTTTCTACAATCACACAATCGGAAAGGGTGTTGGAAGTCGCCTAACCCTTGTCCCACTTAGGATCGGGAACTTAGGATGTAACTCTAGCACATCTGGCAGATGAGAAGATCCAGAATCACCCAGAGATGTCTCTGAGCTGTCCAGATGTGGTAGTTTGATGCCACTTTAATTGATTGTCTTTCCAGAGATGCTCAGAATTCACAGCTTAGGGGTCTTTCAGGCACTCTCCTGAACTACCACAGAGAATTATTTCGCCTCTCCCAAGTGACACCCTCCTACAATCCTGCAGGACAGAGCCAGGGCAATTAAAAAGGTATGAAACTGCTGTACTTGTCAGTGGAGAGATAACCAAGCTGTAAAGGGGCTAACATTCTTCCTCTTACGTCTCTTGGGTGTTTCCATTGTCATATAGGTATGGCTGCCAGAGACCCGCCGCCCCATCGCTGGTCGTGTAAGGGGTAAATTTGTCGGCGTAAACCTCTATCTCCAGCGGCTGAACTGTTGAGTGGTATCGGTCGTGGATGCAGAAGGCGGTGGACAGGCCGATGACGCCGGCTCCAATCACAGCCACACGCATTGTGGTGGTTGAAGCCGCCTCCTGGGGGAACAACAATAGAGACAGTCTTGCGCACAAAGGAGTAAATCCTGAGGGGGGGGGCAGTAGAATGTAGTTCTCTGTTGGCATGCATAGGATCCGGCTGTCTGTGAAAGGGTACTTACTGAGTCAAATTGCTGGCTTGCCTTAAAGCCTGGAAACTATATTTCTATGAAAGGGTCTCCAGGCACAACTCTCAGAATCCAGGGTCCTGGTTTCCCATTGCTGGAAACAGAGGTTAAATTCCATTTTGCATAGGCAGAATTTCCTTTTCCTTCCCCAAAGGCTATCCAGGCTGCTGAATAAACTTAGAGAAAACCCGTAATTGGAAGAAGGAACTCCTTAACTGTAGAAAATGTCTGACTGTCACAGCGGGAGATTTTGTTGCCTTCCATAGCTTGCCATTAGTTTGCTTTGTTTTGTAATTAGTCTTTGGGGGCTATATATGCCCTTGTGTCTGTGCTCTTAATTTGTTTAACTTATTGCACACAAAGATCTCCCCAAATCACATGTCTGGAATACTAATATGATTTCAGGTGTAATGTGCGGTTTGGTCCTTAGCCCTCCAGAGCAGTTTTGAGGGTGTCCTGGGAGAGAGATCACCTCTCCCATTTCTGCTGGATCTTGCTCTTCCACCGGCAAAGGCCAGTACTGGAGACTGCCTGGTGTACTGGATTAAATGGATTATGCAGCAGCTTCTTTAAAATGAAGAATGCAACATGTGAAAGAAGCATAAAATTGTGTTTTAGCCTATCCATGGTATCCAGATTTTTGGTGCTATCCTATAGCATGAGACCCTGGACATCAACACAGGCCACTATTGTTATTTGTAAAAAATTAGATTGGACTGTATTTATCACAAAATGCTAAGAAATTCTTGGGTCAAGGGTGACCAATGAAGATTCGACTTCCAGAAGGAGAGAAACGAGAAGCAGGAAAAGAAAGAAGATGCAGGAGCGACTGAGCGTTGCATGCAGTACCCTCCAGAGTGGCCTAATTCTGTCTCCAAAACAGAGAGGGGAGAATTTCTAGGTGGAAACTATATTTCTGTGAAAGAGTCTCCAGGGACAACTCTCAGAATCCTCCATCCAGTAGGGCCATGGTTTCCCATTGCTGGAAACAGAGGTTAAATTTGATTTTGCATAGGCAGAATTTCCTTTGCCTTCCCCAAAGACTATCCAGGCTGCTGAATAAACTTAAGAGAAAACCCGTAACTGGAAGAAGGAGCGCCTGTATTTATCACAAAATGCTAAGAAATTCTTGGGTCAAGGGTGACCAATGAAGATTTGACTTCCAGTAGGAGAGAAACAAGAAGCAGGAAAAGAAGGAAGATGCAGGAGCAGCTGAGCATTGCATGCAGTACCCCTCCAGAGTGGCCTAATTCTGTCTCCAAAACAGAGAGGGGAGAATTTCTAGGTCAGTGTGTCAAACTCTAAGAGCTTTGCTTGACTTCCTTTTCTGGCTGTGGCCGCTCAAGCTGAAGGCGTAACAATGGAGCCTTCTCTGCACTGGAATGCCCAGATGAAAGGTCCACTTTACCAAGTCTCAAAACTCTGCGCCCACCGGCCAGAGAACCTGGCTGCCTGTGTTGGAGGGTCTTGAATAAGCTGTTCTGCGGCTGCAGCAGATTCGTTCAGAGGAAGAAAGACTAGGAGGGAAAGGAGAAGTGCCGGGAACAGCAGGGATGTTTGCCGCCAGAAATGAAACAGTCTGAGAAATGCTGAACTTCATAGTCATCCTTGTCCACAGCTGGACGGAGAGGGACAGCCCATCGGCTGGGAAGGTGGGGCATGGGTTTCACCTGCTTTCTCATGGCTTATCCTTTCAACATTTCACAGATTTAAAATAGAGTGGGGTTACCACAATAATCGTCCCCAAACACAGTGTCCACTAAATGTGTCGCACTGACTGTGGCCTGTTTAAGTCAAAGCTACAAGGCATGGCAGGGCTTTTTTTGGTGGTAACACCACATACTGTATACAACTCCCTTCCATCACAGATCTGGTGTTCCTCCAAACCTCTGTCTGTCACATGCCAATTTAAAACATTAGATGTGTGTAATCTGTGGTTTTAGCTTTCTGGCTTTAGATAGGAGTTGTTGGGTGATTTTAGAGTTTAGTTATTTGTAACTTTTGATTTTAACAGTGATATTTTTAATGTGAATGGTTAGCCACCACGAAAAAGGTCAAGATATAAATGGAATAATGCTAATACCACCAAGCACAATAACAACTCCTATAAGCTCCTGGCTGCTTTAATCATTAACACCCCAGACACTGAGGGTATGTTGCCGATATGGTCACTCAGATATCCAGTTCGTTCAAACCACTAACCCTCATGAAGAGGGTTTTTTCCCCCCAAAGTCTACTCCACACACCTCTGGGATTTTAGCTGCTCCAAATAAACATATAAACTTCCTCTGAATATCAGATTTTGTTTTACTCTCATGGACCCATGCAGCTACTCAGTTTTTTAAGCAATCCTCTGTATCCTAAGCCTTTAAGGGAAACTAGTTTTTACTACAGTCACAGGACTCCAAAGGAGATTCTTGCTGTATTATTTACTACAGAAGCTGAGATTCGGGAAAACTTTAAGTCTTACGTGCATCAGAAGCCACATTTCCCCAGCTTGCTGCCTAACCGCAGCCTTTGAGAGATCAGAATCCCAAAAGCAATACTCAGTTTGTTTCTCTTCTACCTAGTCATTCGACCGTTTCTGCCCTGCTCAAGCCAACAAATCTGAGAAACAGCCATAGAAAGCCGCCTTTTACCCAAGTACAAAACAACTACGAGGCCAGCTAAAAAGCGAACAAGGCCAAAGAAAGCAAACAAAGTCAACGTTACCCTCTTGCCGACGAAAGGAGCGCTTTCCAAAATGCTGTTTTTAAAAACTGCACAGGGTGTGGACCAAAGAGCAAAGCCGATGGAGCGGGTCCAGAGGTTCGCTTGCAGCGAACCCCAGCACCGGGGGTTGGGAAACAGGGTGCAAAGTTCTGCACCGAGAGGAGACGCTTGCGATTGAGGAGGTGGAGTTGGAAACGTTTGCTTTGCCAGGAGATGAGAACTGGCATCATTCCTGGAGTGCTCCCCTTTCTCCAAGGGAACTGCTGGTCAAAGAGCTGTGGGTGCTGGAGGGAACAACGCCTGACATTTCTTACCTGGGGGGGTTGTGGAGATAACTAGTTTCTTGGGGGTCACCTGAGACCCTGTTTCCATCAGTCTAGGATTCCCCCCCCCCCTTTTAAAAAATATGTTATTCACAGCATAGTTCCTGCTGGAAAAAGGTACAGTATTTCCCTTCCAGGTAATTAGCAACTCTTATTAGCCAGGTTGGCTTTATTAACCTTTCTCGCTTCCCTTGTCTGTGCGCAGAGCTTATCCACAGCTTAGGCCGAGGAGGTTGACCGTGTTGCCTTACGGACGACGATACAGAGGGATTTAGTTCTTAGAAGGGCCTTCTGGCAAACCTAGGGCGCTCTTAGCCGTTCCTCCTTGCTCCGAGTCGGAAGGTTCATGGGATCCCTGCACCCCTGAACCCCTGTTTTTTCCTTCCCTCTACAAGAACCACCAATGAGACCAGACCTCCTGCTCTTCTGAACGAGATCCTTCCCATTCTCTTTCGTGGCTCATGAGGCCTGGAGAGCCATCCCAGGGTCCATACCTGGCACCATCTTTCTTCCCCTCGCCAGGGCTCATCTGTGCCAAGCCCCGTCTTCTCGCCAACCTTCTGGCTGCCTATCAGCGATCCACATACCATAACGATGTGGCTGTGTGGGCAGGATCTAATTCTGTTGTTCACAGTTCACAGTTGAGGGACACGGCATGGTAGCTGCTCTCAGGGCAAAAGAGGTGGTCTTGCGTGGTCTTGGAGACAGATCCAACGGAGAAGTCAAGTAGGACCATCCATTGCTCTCTTTCTAAAAGTAGGGAGCGAGCAGGTCATCCGAGGACTTCAGTGGTCAATGGCTTTACGGACTCTCAGCAAAGCCTATTACATTAATTACTCTATTATTCGCCTGTCTCTTGCTTTTAGTGTTGTTGAGTCCCTCACACTTTCACAGCCCGTTTATCTTTTCCACCTGCCTTTGTTGTGGATATTTGTGCACAACTGGAGACACCTCGGCTCCCCCGGTCTTGACTTTTATCGTTGTTGTCTGCTACCTTTAATCAGGGACAAATCTTTCGGAAAGAATCTGCACATGCTAAACTTTTCCCTCCTCATCAAGCCAGTTAACGTGAGGTTGTGATGGGTTTTTACGATGCTTTCCATGCACTTTTATGTACACAGTGCAGAAAAATTATATTTTCAGCACATTTTCCAAGGGTTCAGCTGCGTTAGTCAGTTGTAGGAAAAACCTCATGGTTTTGTTGCATCTTAAAGATTTATACATTTTATTTTGGAACATGCTTCTGTGGAGTGTAGTCCACTGTAGACAGATGTATACTCAAAGGTGTTGACTGAATTAAATGCTGTGGAGAGAAAATATACCCTTAGTAAGATGTCTCATACTTTTTAAAAACATTAATTCCAAACCATTTCCACCATTTTTAATTTTTATACAATATTGTTTAATTATTACTTCTGTTCAGAGCTTGGAAACCTTACTCTTCCGAATTCCCAGAAACCCCAGTCAGCATGCATGGCCACAATGGCCAAGGATTCTGGGAACTGTAGTCCAAAATGTATAAAGTTTCCAAACTCTGTGCCTGTATTAAAAACGGTTTCGCCACCCATGTTTGTTAACTTGCAACAGCAATAGTAATTCTTGAGATTAATTCTTCTCCTGAAAAGCAATGGAAGGAGCTAGGACTTTGAACACAGGCTTACATTAGTATTCTTACTGCATATTTCTTTCGTTGCATTTGTGAAGAAAAGCAAGGTTAAAAATAATAAATGAAAATAGAATTTTCCATCTGGCCAAATGGTCAATCTGGGTGACATACAATAACAAGGTAAGAAAGAGGACCGACATCAGAAGTGGGGCAGGCTTGTTCCTCTCTCCTTAAAAACTCCCAGAATCCCCTGGGCAGCATGGAATTCTGGGATTTGTAGTAGTACCAAAAAACCCAACACAAATCCACCCACAAATCTTCACACTTCCATCCTGACACACAACCCTTTATATGGCTGCCTTTTTAACACCCCCCATGTCCTAAGATGATGGGGGGCACCATTAAGCTTTTAAATTCTTGGACCTCCAGGCGAATAAATACATAAAATGACACATTTCCCTAATTTTGTCCCATTTTTAGGCCTGTTTTTCTTTCCACTCCTGAGGATTTTAAAACATGGCTGGTTTCTGAGGGAGACCGTTTCCCGCCTTTTTTTGTTTGTTTGTTCGGAACTGGGGGGGGAGAGAAAGGAGGCTCTTTGGGGGTGGACTACGACTCCCAGAATCCCTTCGATGACTGGGGAGGGGATTCTGGGAACTGTCATCCGCAAAAGGGGGGGAACCATCCTCCTTCACACCCCCACATCCCATTTGTTGGGGCCTTTCCCCATTTTGTGAGGGGAAAAAAACCCTCTGAGGGGGAAAGAAAGAAGCCTGGCCCGCCTTTTTTAAAAAAAAGTTTTTAGGGTTTTTTTTTGGCGGAAAAGGAGCTTCGCGCGCTTTGGGGGGGAGGGGGAACTACGACTCCCAGAATCCCCCTCCGCTAAGGCTGGCGGAGGGGCATCCTGGGAATTGTAGTCTCCCCAAAAAACTCGGCGGGAGGGAAAGAAACGACCTCTCTTCACACCCACCCCCCATTCCGTGAGGCGTTTTCCCCTTTCGTGAGGGAAAGACGACCTCTGAGGGGAGGTGGAAAAAAGGCGGCCCGAGGAGGAGGAGGAGGAGGAGGAGGAGGCGGAGGGGAAGGCGGGCCGGGAGGCGGAGGCAGAGCCCGGGAGGGAAGCCGAGGTCGGACGCCGGCGGGGCCGGAGGGCTCGGCGGGGAAGGGTCCCCCTCCAGCGCTCGCCCACCCCGAGCGCCGCCTCCTCGTCGGCCAGCACCAGCGAGGTGAGCCGGGACCGGGAAGGCGAAGGCGGCTCGGCCCTCCCTCCCTCCTTCCCTCCTTCCCTTCTCCTCCTCCTCCTCCTCCGTCCCTCCGGGCCCTGCTTTCGTGTGGGGCCTCCTCCTTCCCCTCCCCGCCCTGGCCGCCTCAGGGATTCCGGGGGGGGGCTCCTCCTTGCCCTAAGGCTGCACCCCATGGATCCGCCCTGGAGGGGGGAGGGAGGAAGGAAGGAATCCATGCCCACCCTCCCATCCCTCTCTCTGTGGACTCCCCATATCCTCCCCAGGGACTCTTCGCTTGACTCCTCGGCCCCTTTGCAGAGACACCATAAGCATGCTTTTCATGCTGTCTTTCTCCAACAACAATAGCTGGTCCCCATAACTGCCTTCTTAGGCTCCCCCCTTCTTTTGCTAGCCCCCCCCCCCCAAGTCAGTATTCTTAGCAATGTCTTTTCTGCATTGAAGGAGACCCCCCCTTCCTGCCCCTGGTTGAGGCATCTGGTTATAGAGCCAGAGGTTGGGAGTTCAGTCCCCTGCTGTGTCTCCTTGACAAGGGCTGGACTCAATGATCCCGCCCCAGCTCTGCAGCTCTAAGATGATGATGATGATGATGATAAGATGATGATGATGATACGCTCCTGCCTTACAGCCTTTCGCCAGTGCCCTGCTATCCATTTCTCAAGCTCTGCCGGAGTTAGTCAGTCCAACATGTTTCCAAATACTTTTGAGTTACAGGTCCCAGAATCTGGCCATTGGGCACACTGGCCGAGGTTTATAGGAGTTGCTGGTCCAGAATATCAGGAGGCCACCAGATTGCTTGCCTGCCCCCACCCCCCACTGTTGTGTTTGTTTTCCATCTCTAAGCCTGCACCCCCCCTTGCTGTAATGTGTATCCCTTCACATAAACCCACACATTTTCTTTGGGGCTTAACACATTGTTCTTATGCTCTGCCTAAGTCCATGCATGTCCATGTGCTGCATTTCCCCCCATTTTCTGAACAGGTCCTGTTTCCTAGACCTGAGCCCCCCATTTAGGCATCTACCAGTATTTATTCACTTAACGGCTTTTGTTTGTAGCCTACTGTACTTTGTGGCAAGGCAGGGAACAATCCAGGAAGTCTTGTTGATAGTCTTCATACAGGATAAATACTGTAAAACAAAACATTTTCAAAACACTTCTAAACAGTGTAATAATTCATTGTGATCCCATGCTGGCAATTCTGAACTGAGATTAATCCTCTCTGTTATCATAGGGATTCAATTGCTCTGAGAATTCGGACATATGAGGCGTGTATTGGATTTGTTGGGATCCCATTTACAGTTCTGTTGTGTTTCGCTGTCTTTAGGCTTCCTGCTGTGGAAGGTTTTGTGCAAGCTGGAGGGAGGGAGGTCACCATGCAGCCACCTTCCGAGTAGATTTCAAATGCAAAGTTTCCACCATTATATCAAGGAAAAAAGACCAAAAGCAATAACTGAGAGCTGGTGTAGAGTATTACGTACAGTGTAGGATGGGACTCGGAAGACCTGGGTTCAAATCTGTGCATAACCATCTGCTGTTTGAGCTTTTAGGTTGGATTAAGGTATAAACCATTAAGGGGCATGTTACCAGAACCTCTGTATAAATGCTTTTTTGATATGCTGAAGGGTGGATGAGATAATAGACAAGAAACAGAGTTGTCATCCAGAGAATGCCAAGACAGAAGGCTTCCCGATTACAGGAGGACACCTAAGCCAAGATAGCCGAGGAAAGGAGTGTCCTAGATTCTCCTCTGGCCCTGCTATGAGAATTGAATTGAGTACCAATGAACCTTCTGATGCTCTGTTAATTTGGTGATTAAAGCTTTTAGTTCCTACGAGACCAAGGACCTGCCCCGCTTGTCACGAAATATCAGCCTACTACTTCCTTTTTTTTCATCCTGTTAAGTGAAGAATGTTTTGGGAATTCACCGCTTTAATGCTTCCTGCCCTTTTGCTTTCAGCTGGAGGTCGGTAGCGATGAAGAACGGAAACTGAACCTGAGGTGAGCATGAACTGTTTAAACTTCTGCTTTAGAAATTGCTTCTGGCATTTTCCTCCAGATCTTGTTTGTGAAATCTTACTGTATAAGGCTTCGATTCAGCACAGGTGCTGAAGGGTTTGCGTAGTCAGAAGGGGGCAGGGATGGCTTTTGGGGATGGCAGAGCCCAGCAGGTAGCACGGTCGCTGGCCAAAGTGACTCTCAGCTCCTGGGAGCTTTATTCCTCGCACACACCCCTTCAAGAAACCAGTGTTCCTCTCTCTGCCAGGGGGTAGAAATTCCTGCTAAGTGGAATATTGTTAGGATAGTTTTGCGCTCGTGCACACAGCTACACCAGGGTCATACGGATCCGTTGATGGTTGCTAGTTCTTCCATCTGAATCAAGTTTAAAAAACATCTCTGCATGGTATGAATAAATACCATGAAGGACAGAGGGGTTTCTCTTCCATCAAAGCAGATAGAACAGGACTTGTTCCTGGCAGTTAAGGTTCCCTCTCCCCTTGAAATCATTGCACTCTTCTCCATCTCTCCTGAGGGGGGTTAGCTCTTGTCCTGTATATCCTTTCCCCTTTCTCTCCCATTGTACCTGGAAGAAGACAATTGATGCATGGACCAGCTGCAAACCGGTGGTAAAAGTAACAGCCACCTGGCCCTGTGTACTCCCAAACTGCCTTGGCGTGTTTTAACAGGATGACTGTGGACCAGTGTCCTCTGATTGAATGGGGAACTAGGTGTGACTGTAGGTGTGTTTTACCTGCAACATCTGAGACTTGTTAAGAACTGCTGGTGATGGGCTTTCACTTCATAGCACTTATTATATAGCTGTGTGGCTCTCAAGTGATCTCGATTCTTACCTTGGAGTTTGTTCAGTATTGCTGACAAGACTACTGTACACACACATGGGCAGGGTGTACCGGATCAAGGCCAGGTTTGTCCATGGCTGTACCTGAACTCAGACCTGGGAAGGGCCTTTCCAAGCCCAGAACCTAAATATTCATTGCTGCAGCTGAAACTAAATTTTGAAGGGAAGTGAGCAGTATAGCATTCCTGCTTCATCCTGGTTTGGGCTTCTTCAGATTTAGCCCCATTGTTTCTATCTTGGTAACAAAGCAAGAGCAGAAGGACGGGCATCTGGAACGATTTCTGGCAAGAATATTTTTGGACTACTGCTCCTAGAACCTTCAAGCCCATTTAGCCAGTGGCTCCGTTGTTGATGGTGGCCTAGCACTGGAATGTGTTCCCCGTAGAAGTTTGCCTCACCACCGTTTATCTCATATTATTTCCCCCAAGATTTTCTGAGACCTTTCTACCTCTGCTGCTAGCCATTTTATGTTGTATTGATGATTCTTTGTGGCATCTGACCTATTGTATTTTCTGGCTTTAAAGGTAGCTGCCTTATGCTTTTCATAAATCGGAAGTATAAACCGTTACAATACATGGGGTTGGGTTTGCCGAAAAACAAGCAAAACATGGGAACCAGAACTTCCTGGTCTCACAATGACTGGGAGGAACAGTCTTGTGTGAAGGGAGTTTTCAGAGATGAGGTGTTAAGTGGCCAAAGTTACTTTCTCAGGGGCCCGTAAATCTTACAATCCCCTATGCCGGTGGGGAATTGCAGTCCCCTCCCCAAAATTAAGACTTCCTTTTTCGAGCTCTGATCCCAGATATGGAAAAGTGAGCAGTTCTGTTTCTCTTATTCCACTGCAGCCAGATGGACAGCTGATGGGTAAAGGGCACATAGCAGGAGGGAGTCCAAGCGGCTGCCTCCCTGACTGGCTGCAGCCTTGGAACGGCACAGAGGGACCAGTGGGAAGAGGGGCACGGATTCTCTGATGACTCAGCTTCTTCTGCAAGGGGGAATGATCCAGCAAGGGCACTTTCCCTCCGGAGAGACGGAGATGGTCATCTTTTCGCCGTGGCAGCGCCTGAGCAGTAGTGGCAACCCCGTCTGTTTGACAGGGTGCAGTATTTACGGGATGCAGCAAAAACCACAGAAAGTCTTACGGTAGTACTTTGAAGACGGACGGGTTTTGATTGCCGTAAGCTTTCCTCCGTGGCAGCCTTTCTCTTCAGATGCCTCTGATTGGTAGTACTTTGAAGACGGTTTTGCTTGCCATAAGCTTTCCTCCATGGCAGCCTTTCTCTTCAGATGCCTCTGATGAATCAGGCTGCAGTCCATGAAAGCTTAGGACAAACAGAAACGGTTGGCCTGCTTCCCAACAGGACCCTGCTTCTTTGGCTACCAGGGACAAACAGGGCTGACCCTTTGGAAGGAACTGCTTGATGTGAAATTAGAGTCCCCTTTCAAAACAAGGGGATCACAACGGCCGTACCTGTATTCGTGGCCATGCCAGTGTTATTAGCTGTTCCTCCTCGTATCACTCAAGGATTCCACCACCTTTCTCCCTCCAGCCAAAGATGCTTAAAAGGAGGCGGGATAGAGTGTCAGAGTCTTTCTGCAGTGGTCCATTGGGGGGCAGTCTCGGTCCTTGTTTTTGTGTGTGTGTGTTTTATTTTTTGGTCTGAGATGAATTTCACATCCTTCTTAGTCAATTTCCTCCTTCGGAGAGCTTTGGCTGGTGTCTGTGCAGGGCCTTGAATGACCTTCTCGTGAAATCAGGAACAAAGTCTCTGCAAGCAAGTTTTGACTATCCCTCTGGTGGCTAAAATGTGGCTTGAGAGGAAGGGTTTTTCCTAAAGGAGACAAGAAGGGGGCAATTCAGATACTCTACAGTGTGTCTTATCAGGATCTGAAATTTTAGTCTGGCTAGTTAGGTAGGGAAACAGACAAATAATCAAACAATTGCAGTCATTTTTATTCACCTTGGTCCACAAGACCTTCCCTAGGTTGTTGGATCTTTCTTCACCTCATCAGGTACATTTCCTATAAACAAGGAGTGGAGGAAGTGTAGCCTTCCGGGTGCTTTCAGACTCCCAATTCCCAGCATTGCTAGCTGTGGGGTGTGTGGTTGTAGGGATGATGGGAGCTGTAGTGCAACTCCTGGACGGCTGTGCTTTGTCCGTCCCTCTCTTAAAGAGGAACAAGTGCAGAAGACAAAGGTGGTCTGGAGTCCAGCAGCTTTTTTTCTTTCTTTCTGTGCAATTCCTGTTTCTCCACCTTCCCCGAGCAGCTTAGCTTTTACTTCTTGCCTCTCCCTCTTGCTACGAATATAGTTCCAAGCTCCTCCTGCACCCTTTGCCCCAAAAGTGTCAAGATTCTCACCCATGTCCAGAGTGGAGACTATTGCCCCAAGTTGAAATGTGAAGTTGTACCCTTATGCCACAGGTCTGCTAGGCTAGGATAAACAAGAAGCTGTCGTGTGTTTTTACACTACTCTCTAGAATACTGAGTGGGAGTTTGCATTTCCTTGCAAACTCAGCTGCTGCCACACCAGCCTGGGAGACAATTGTGAGGCCTCACGAGCCCACCATGTGGCCTCCCCCTTGTAGCTCGGAGCACGGCTGAAGTCAGGATGCTGCAGCTTTGCCAGGATGTGATTCAGCATCCTGTTTTTAAACATCTGATGGAGTCAGCAGCTTCTGCCTCCAGTTCTCCTTGCTCACTTCAGCTGCAAGACAATAACTACCCGTCGCCCATGGGGTGGCAAGCGGCAGGCACAGCATGGCTATTGTCTTGAGAGGCATATGCTGGTTAGCTGTCCAGCGGCCCCTGCAACGGACTTCTGCGTTTCCATTCATTGGCCCTTGATGAGATTCACTCGAAACCTTGCAGTTATCACTGACCTATAATCATGACCCCATTGACGATCTCCGTGGCATGCAACCCAGATTCCCACAATGTACTCAAAACAGATCCAGATTTTGAAGCTTTGAATCCTAACAAGTATTTGTTTGGTGCCACTGGTATCCCCCCCTCCCCTGACGTGAAGGTCAGTGGTCTTAAGGATGCATCTTTCTTTCTCTGTACCGTACTGTAAATTTGGAGCCCCCCTTTCCCTTCCCTTTTTGTAGTTGTAGGCTTGAGCTGTGTGACTCCAGCAAGCTTAAGCTGCGGGAGGAAGCAGAAGTTATGTGAAATACGTAGTATAAAGAGTTGGAAACGTACTAGTGAAAGGCAGGAGGGGCTCCCACCTTTTTCTGATGAGAAGACCATCCCAGCCTTTTGGAGTGTAGGAAGGGCTGCTATGCTTACCCAAGCTTGCTGGCATGTTTTTCCTTGTAGGAGTGTACTGTATCTACATTGCACAGTTACAGCCATTTGAGTCTGCTTAACTGCCTTGGTACTGTCCGATGGGATCCTGGGACATGTAGTTTAGTAAGGTCCCTAGAACTGTGCAAGGTTTAGTCTCATGCCTTCTGCTGAACTCCCGACAGAGCATTCTGTATGTCTCCCCAAACTGCAGATCCCAGGATTCTCTCGCTCGGGAAGCCCGGCAGGTAAAGGGCTATCAAGCTGCTGTACCATCAAGCTGGTGCAGATGCTCGCTAAGCCTCAGGGTAGCTCACTCTGCCTCTCTGAAATCTCAGTGGTATAATTTTCTCCTTTGCGCAATACAGAGTGAAGTCCTGCTGGACTATTCAGGAGCTCTACTGGGCTCTGAGGAACTTTTGCTCTGCTTTAAGCCAGGAATTTCTAAGAGAGAGATCATGCTGATTTGTAAAGATGTTTGACCAGCCACATGGTTTGTTTCAGATTTATTTGTAATTCTGCTGGTGTTGGCTGGTACAGAAATACATCGGGTCATAGAAACAGCAGGTATTTTAATGCTGCTGCTGCTGAAAGTGGCCCTTATTTTGTGAGCACTGGGAACATGAAATTGGGTAGATCTCGGACAATGCAATTTTTTCAGTAAGAATGTCAGAAATGTTACCCAGAGTTCAGGAAGGATAGTGTGTCTTAATGGGGCTTCTTTGCCTCTTCTGCTGCACAGTCAGGATCTTTCTCAGAAGCTGTTTGCCTCCCTAGCCCCACATTAGTCTTTAACTTTCCTGTCCAAAATATATGCTTGTTGATGTGCTGGTGGTTGTTGTTGTGGTTGTTG